ATCAATTATGGTATTATGCTCAATTTTCTAAACTATTAGATATATGGAATCCATTCAGACTCATCTTTCAAAATTAAAAATACTATTTTCAAAAATCAAAATTTACACGTATTAAGTTAAATTTATTTTCATAAAAAAAAGGCGATCGACAGGACTTAAACCTTCTTTGCAACCATGCAAAGCAAGGTTCACTAAATCAATAAACTAGAGCATTTTCTGCAGAAGTTGTTGTTAAGACTTTTCTAGTGGGATTGATAACAGACGTTGCGTTCCTCCCAAAGAAGTAGTTGTCATATCTCGTGGGATTGCATACTACTTGATACATGCACTTGTGTTGTGCGATCCCCTTACTTCACGGTATGTTTTGGTGCGTCACCTCTGCTCTTTGATTGTTCCCTTCCTTCTGTGATCGTTGTGTTCCTTTTTTTGTTAACGACACGGGTTCACACTCACCACACATTTTAAGATGTTGAATCTAAATCTTTCCAGAAGACCTGCCTAAGTAATAGAGTACTGAAGGATGGGGAGACACAAAGAGAGAGGAGAACAATATCATAGTATTGAACAATAAATTTGCTTAACTTTTATTCATTATATAGACCCCATATTTATAAGAATGGGTCATTATTTAATTACATATTGTACTCTTAAAATACGTAGGTACGGTGGGAGTATTTTAGTCCGTACATATATATAGCCAGTGGGGCCTATGTGTATAGTCATGCAAGTGCTAGGCAGGGCGGCTACTGAGCCGAGCGGCTGCTATGCCGAGAGGTTATTTGCAGAGGATTCACACCTCTTTTCTGAGATTGTGAGATCAGTCTTTGCTCTCTCAGCCAACCCGGGTTGGAAAGCTAGTTGTTCGTCCAGGTAGGTTCGGTTTGATAGATTCTTCAGGGGTAGTATGCTTTTTATCCTCTCAAGACTCACCGTCCTTTCGGTAGTGTCGACACTATTTTTGGAGTAGTCGTCCTTGGCAAGCCCCGCTGGGCAATGTCACTCCTCCTATTATCTGCGAGATGTCTTTGTGATTGTACTGACACATTTTTTATATACATAACGTAATTTTGTGATAGCATTGACACACTACTAAATATTTGAAGATTTCAATGCTAATCATAAAATTATGACCACTATCATGAAATCAAACTTTTACATAAAAAAATAACATTTGAAGAAACAATCAAACAAACATACAAATAAAAAAAAATGAAAAAAATAAAAAAATAAATAAAAATAAGTAAACAAAAGGGGAACAAAGTCAATGACAACAAATCAAGCCATGGCAGTGTAAAACGTCTGAGTGGTTGGGTTTTGCCCTATGTACCTTCTTCCTTCCATTGCCGGTAGGATAAGTGCTCTTCCCATGCAGGTTCCCACCCATGGATTTGTGATCAGTAGAGGACAGCCGACCTTTGCGAGAGGAAAAAATATTGCATTAGGACTGTGCACGTAGAGTTACGTGCGGGGTTCAATAAAATCACGTCACGTGGAAGTGACAGAAAAAAAATCGACCCGGTAACACCTGAGAATATTCCCCTGTGTTATTACATGTTATTCAGGTGTTATTGTGTTCTGGAAATATTTCCGGTGTTACAATAACATTTACATAACAAAGAATAACACATGAATAACACACAATAACACTTGCATAACACAGGAGAAATATTCTCGTGTGTTACCAGATAGATTTTATTTTATTTTTCTGTCACCGTCATGTGACGTGATTTCATTAGACTCCACACGAAACTCTACGTGCAGAGTCCTAATGTAATAATTTCTCCTGCGGATGGTTGGTCTTTTCCGTGAATAGGGTGTCTTTGCCATTTCCTAAAAGCTTTTCCATTCCAACATAGGGTGGCTAGGGAAACCTCACGACGTGGAAGTCTAGCGAAAGCAAAATTCAAGCACAAAGTGAATCACTCATTTCGCGTTAAAGATGTCCAAAAATGGTGGTTCAAACAGCTTTTGTACGACACTTACAACAGCGGTCTTAAAACTGCCTTTAAACTCTGCTGCTTTCGCATTCATTTTATTTGTGGAGTTAGTTGTTAGATATGTAAATAGGGTGGAACTGAGTGATGTAATTCTTCATAAAATCAATTTTTTACTACCTTAATCTGATTTTTGATGGAAATTTCAATGGAATATTCTAACTTTTTAATTATTTTATGTTCTGCTTCTATCCACTCAGCCTCACTGCACATGCTTCTTGAATGTATTTGTACTTTTGGTGCCCTCCATCACGTCTTTCACTTGGCGTTGGCAAGAATAAATTATGCCATCTGTGGAATCGCCTTTTCACATGCTCAGAGTATTCTGAATATGTTGGAGATTTTAATGAAACAATGCAATAATTTTTAAGATATATAGATTGTAGCAGCGGGGGTTTTATACTGATAAATGTATGTCAGATACTCTTTAAACTTACTTTGTGTTCTCTGATGTCTAGTTAAGGATGTAAAAGAGCAATGTTGAACTTGAATCCCTACAATCTTGAAATCAGTTTTTTGGTCTAATGATATGCTTGAAATCAAGCTCATTTATTGGAGAGAAAATATTGTGTCTGGAGTCCGGACGTGTGGTGTGTCTGGACAATGGACGTGATACAACGAAGGTCCGAGCTCCTTGTCACGGGCAAAAAGTCTCACATCGGCTAGGTGTAGGGCCGAAGCTGTCACGTGCAAAAAGTCTCACATCGGCTAGGTGTAGGACCGAAGAGCAGTATTTAAGTCCCGGGCTGCCCACCTCTCTTAAGAGCTAGACAAGTGGTATCAAAACAGATTATTGTTTGTCAGGTGTGTGGACTCTCCATGGTCCAGTGGGACCCTCGGAGGAGCCGATCCGTAACGAGGGCATCACGTGATTGGGTGGAAGAGAATGTCACGGGCAAAAAGTCCCACATCGGCTAAGTATAGGACCGAAGAGCAGTATTTCAGTCCTTGGCTGCCCACCACCTATAAGAACTCTTTTGGGAGGTGACATCCCACTCCGCCTTGCTATATCACGTCCGTTGTTCGGACACAGCTCTGCATACGGACTCCGGACATAATATTTTTTCCATTTATTGAGCTTGGATTTGGCTTGTCTGCCTAATGAAAAGCTCGAGCTTAACTCATGAAGCCAAAATCATCATAATGATGGCAACTCATGTCGATAGCAACAAGAAAGTCTCCGAGTCACAGTGAGATGTCGTTGGGAAAGCTATTGACAAAGGCAAACTCCCTTTGGAGGAGAATAAAAAGATGAAATGAGTGACATTTGAAGGGAATGTGATTGAGGAGTTATACGAAAATAGAAAGAAATTATGGCAGCATCATCAGGATATGATGTGCAAATTCATAATGATAGGATTATTTAGTTCCACTAAACTAAATCAAGCGGCCTCAATTTAATGTAAAAATGGTGGAGAAATAAATTTTTTTTGAGTTTGACTAGCTAAATCTTGTCATATTTGAACCGACGCATATGTAATACAAGAGGAGTAAAATGGGCTTGAGCTATAGGCTTGACAAACTTTGACCTGTGAGCTTGTCAATGAGTTGACTTCAAGTCAAAGCCAATTCAACTCGTTCACACCCTTAATCCTAACGATATATATTGACAACTTCTTGTGAATGAGAAGTGGAACTTCACATCTCGTTAGAAGTTTCTAGCTTTTACATAAATAATTAAGCTGGATTTTTATGAGCCGGCTTAAGTTCAGAAAATTTAAAAGCTTTTGAGCTTTGCTTAATTAGAAATTTGAGCATAGGCTTAGAGCTTAGGTTCAAGTTTGACATGAGATTTTACTTTATGGCTTAATATGAATATTTTTCGAATGAAAATCTATCTTTATAAAAGATATTTATTTATTAATACTTAAGAGTGTGTTTTGGGCGGCGGTGTAGTTGCACCACAATTTTTCATATCTGGCAAAACTGTATTTTATCTGCATTCTTAAAAAGTTACAGCTGAAAACTGCATTATTTCACCATACCTGACTACTTGCGATGGTTGCTAGAAAGTTGTGGTTAAACTTTTTTACAAAAAAAAAATTGTAATAGTCATCGCAACTTTTTGAACTTTTTTTTCTTCAGCAGCCGTGCATAGAGCACAAACAACAAATTGCAAAATCCTAAATCTCAACTTTAGAATAATGGAAATTAGATTTCACGGTAGTGAAAAACCACAAATCACGAAGAGAAAACCGAAAAATCTAAACAAATTTTAAGCTGCTAAGATAATTGTAGAGGATACCGTAGGAAAACGGAGAGTAAAGTAACCAAACAGAGCTATAGATCAAAGAGAGAAGGGAGAGGTGATGAAAGGTAAAGTCTAACCATCGAAGCAAGAGATTGGAGAGAAGCGAGGGAGGGAGGAGAGAGGAGATGTCTCCTTAGAGCAGAAAAACGAGATAAGAAGAGCGGGACATGAGAGAGAGAAGAGGGGGTCAGGAGAGTGATAGGATGTGTCAAAGCTGACCGCGAGTTCAAAATCACGACCAACGTTTAACACTATTTTAATTTTTCAGTCTTCAAATAACCTCCCGATTTTTTTCCCACCGCACTACCCAAAAAATCTACCCCAAACGGGCCCTTAGTTGTCATTATCATATTCAGAGCTTCATGCCAGTGCGGACTTGAAAGAGGGTTTAATAACTAATTATTTATAATTATCGACAACTGCCACTAAAAAAATTAAGAAGAGGCTCAAATATATGATTAGAATAATTGTTAAGAAAATTTTTCCGCAAAACCTTGTGTTGCGTTCAAGGCCCTCTAACCAAAATACTCCAGAAGTCGACCACCCTGCCTGCCCAGTTGTTCACATATAATTTATAATGATATCCCAATGCTTTTTTATTCTATTTAAATAATATAAAATTCTCTTTTTTTATTTATAAATAATACAGATGTTATAAATATAAAGACAAAAATATATATATTTTCATTATCTAAATTTTTTTCTCTATAAATACTTACCATGATATCTAGATTTGCTTCATCCTCGGAAGCCAATTAATCATCAGCAATGGCATCCACAATGCCCCTCTTCTCCCCGCTCCAACCAGTCCTACTACTGCTACTGCTACTAACTTCAGTCACCGCCGCCACTTTAGCTCCGAAGAACTCGGAGATTTTCCGGGAATACATCGGCGCTGAATTTAACGGCGTCAAATTCTCCGACGTGCCCATCAGCCCCTCCGTCGACTTCCACTTCATCCTCTCTTTTGCCATTGACTACACATCCGACGGCAGCTCCTCCACCAACGGTCACTTCAACGTTTTCTGGGACTCCAACAACCTCTCCCCAAACGAAGTCAACGCCATCAAATACAGCCGCAGCAGAGTCAAAGTAGCCGTTAGTCTCGGCGGCGGCTCCGGCGGCCACCGGCCCCCCCCA